ACACACAACAAATTTGTTTTATATTACAATTGATACTCATTTTGGTCTCTGACACTACAGAAAGGGAGAAAAGGATTCCATTAATGATGTAGCAACTTTTTGTCTTGCATAGAGTAAGAAATGGATTTCTAAAAATGACAGAATTTATTGGAAGTTAGTTCATTTGTTCCAGGTACATATTTACAAAAAAGTCAATTTGTTTTATGTAACTTTGACTAGGTTCTTAAAGTTAGAAAATGTAACATAGTTTTTTATAATAATTGTTGCTTATCTTAAATTAAGACTCCTGAAGGAGAGAAGTCCTTGGAATGTTGAAATTTTAAACTTCAAAATTAAATGAACATTTTAATGAAATTTTTAAATCTGAATTATGGTGTCTGATTAATGTGCGTTTGATTTCAATGTGTTCAATAAAAAATAAGTCTAAAATAATTCTGGACTGAAAATCTAAAAAAAAATAATCTATTTATAAGATTATATACATTATTTATTTTTTGTTAATAGTATTGTTGCCTTTTCATTAGAAACCTATTTATATTGAAATATTGTGTTCTTGTTACATTGTAGAACTTTTATTACCTCGCTTAACAAAACTAATGTTAAGAAATGTCCTTTTATTAACAACACATGTAATTCTTTTGATCATCTGTTTCTAGTAAATTGTTGTAGTAGAAAATATAAAATAGCAAGTTGAAATGTCAAGATATGAGAGTGAGAACCACTTGCAAAAATTATTTCTGTGGACCATTTCAGACTGGATGCAACAGTAGTTCAGAAGGGAAAAACTTCCTAATAATCAAGTCAGTGTTGAATGTCTGCTTCTGTTCTACAAGCAGGTCTAATGTCTCCTTTGTGGGTTATTAGCAATTTGGTCATGTAATGTTTTTAAAAAGAGCAGTTGATATTTTTTATGCTTTTGGGGAGCTTAAGATGGCTTTCTAGCATGTACTTTGGTCTTAATCATCAATCACCATAATATTTATCTACATCAGATATTATGGCAGTTAATCACCAAAATTCACACCTTGAACTTCTAGCTGCCTAAAATATTTGGTAGAAACTAGAAGTAAATTAAGCAAAAGAAGTTTTGAATAATTCGCTCCTTTAGTTCATTTCCCAACACACACACACACACACAACAAATTTGTTTTATATTACAATTGATACTCATTTTGGTCTCTGACACTACAGAAAGGGAGGAAAGGATTCCATTAACGATGTAACGATGTAGTTAAGAATTAAATGAATAATTTCCTCTGCAGTGCATTTTCATCAGTTGTTATATATTTAATATGTGACATGGACACTGAAGTTCATTTTTATGGACAGGTATATCAAATTAGGTAACTTGCATTAACAAGATTATCAGCGATATATAAATATTATTAATGCTAACAAAAGAATTTGAGAGTTGAAGAAAAGGGTTATAAGAGAGAAACATAGTTATAGTGTAACTTGGAATATATTTTCTTGACTTTCAATAGTACTTATTTGACAGCAATTCCTTGTCCTTTTTGTTTTGTAACTCACATTCAGGATATGATAATACTAATGATCATTGGGATGGCTAACTCAAATAAAAAAATAATTGTTTTAATGGAAGAAGAAAGAAATGTCAATAATATTGATTTTAAAACTTATTTGGTGCTAAGTGAGTCTGTAACAAATTGGTTATTGTTATAAGTAAACATTATGACACAAATTAGAGGAATATATCTTTGTTTACCAATATTGAAGAACTTTAAATATCAATATAATCTTATTTTATGTATATTTTTAAAATTTCATTATTTAATTTTGATGTAATTCTGCCATGAAATTCTTTCCATTTTTTTTGTTTTGTTTTGTTTGATGAAATAATAAAAAGGACATTTATAGGCTCTTCCCATTGAAATATAGTTTAATGTATAATAATCGCGTTGTTATGTTTTGCACCATATCCTTTAATAAGCATTTTTTTTAAAAGCCCAAAAAAAACAGAACTGAAAATAGGATTTCTACATAGACCTAAACCCTCTTCCGTTAAAAATCATCAAAGTTCTTAATTTTTTTAAAATTTTATATTTTTGGATTGCAGACTCAGAGCAGAGTAGAAGACCTTCAAGCCAAATTGAAGATCAAAGAACAGCAGCAGCAAGACCTGGAATCTAAATACAGCACACTTACAAGCAGTGTGGAACAGTTAAAAGAAGTGAGTTAAAATACTGTTTAAGTTATTGTTAAAAAAGTAGATGAAACATCAAAAGGATGAGGTTAATAGTTTCCACATACTAGACATTAGGGCACCAGTCTGGATGCTGTCTGAACAATTTTTTCCCCTAACTTAATAGTGTCAGTACTGAAGGATGTATTTTATATTTCGGCATTTTTTGGATTAAATGTCTGCAACCTGTTTGTCCTAAAATTTAAAAAGTTAAGAATCTAAGCAAACACTGGTAATTAAAAGGAAATTTGTGCGGTTTGAATTGTATTCAGATTATTGAGAATAATGGAGAGAACAGAGAAATGCAATGGCTCTTGTTAATATATTTTTTTCTTCAGGAAAAAGACGGTCTAACTGCACAACTTCAGAAAGAGCAGGAGAAGTCACAGGATCTGTCAAAGGAACTAGTGAGATTGCGAAGCTTGGTGCAGATAGGAAAAGATTCCTTAAGCCAGGAACATGAAATGGTTGTCAATCTTCAACAGCAAGTTGATAAACTAAATGTAAGATAATTATTTCATTTGCATTCTTAATATTGTATATTTAAAGGTGTATGTTAAAAACCTGTATGAAGTAAAAAGGGTTTCTGTAATAATTAGGCTAGACTGTGAGGTGCGTAAACACATTAAAAATAAAAGTAAATACAAGCTTACTAATTTTACATAATCAGAACTAATTAAGATGTCTGTTCAAAAAACCTTAAAAGGTATTATTTCCAGTTGTCAAAATATCATAGTTAGCGCCCAAGCTATTCGCCAAACCACAAATGCAATTCATAGTCTCATTAGCACAATAGTTATTCGCAGAAGTGCAAACTAAAAAGGAAGTCGGTCTTCTAAATATTTGCTTTGGTACTCTAAATGATGTGCAAGAAAGAATGGCTGCATAGTCAGTTCTATCCAACAAAAGATCACGTAGGAAATAAATATCAGCTCACTTTCTTTTACTATGAAGATTATTTTATTTAGATCTTAGGAGAATGACATCATGGTCATGATTGAAAAATTCTTTAAAATAACTTCAAATAAACTGTAGTCATCATTATTAAAAAATGTAGTACACAGATGATTTTCTGTTCATATATTCTGTACCATCTTAAAAGGAAGATAGTTACATTAAGCCCACCTTAATATTGCTCTCACAATTCTTTTCATTAAAACAAATTTTGAAGTCTTCGCACTAGAGATAGGTGATTTTTAAATAATCGATTAATATCTAATAGATGATTTTTTTGTATTAGATTAATATACACCAATTAATCATTCCGAATTAATCAATTAATCTTATATAATTGATTAATTTTTCACATTTAAAAAAATGCATAAAATCGTTAATTTTTAATTTGTAAATTAATTGTTTAGTAATTTTCTAGAAGTACAGCATGATTTAATTAATATTTGTTTATTCTTTATTAAAATAATATTTGTTCCACACATACTCATGAGACAAATGACTGTAACCCAGTTTGAAATGGATGATGGTCGTAGACTTTCTAGAAACAGTGACACTATTCATTATAATCTTACAATGTACTTTGTTGAGAACGATTCTAGGAAAACTGGTAATTTGTATCTCTTATTTCATACTGAATCACTAAACCTATCATACCATCAATAAAATACTAAAACATATATAATGACTTTTCATTTTATTTGTTTTACTAACATTAAAATAATTGGGGATGTTTTTTCTCTCTTATGTTTAGCAGTCGGAGAGAGATGAACATACAAGGAATTCCATTTGCTGAAGTTCAAAAGTAGAGATGTTCTTTCATGTTTTGCTTGTCTTGAAATTAATATTTGAATTAAAGTAATTGAGCTGAAAATGGGAAAAATTAATCAACGTGTACATGAATTGGTGTAAAAATAATTTCTGTTTTAAATTAATCATATACAACATAGATTGTTGTACTAATCCCATTTCTACTTCAGACTGAATATTAGTCAATTTCAGTCCCCATAGATGGAAATTTGTTATTACTCGTTTGTTCTTTAATCCTATTTATAGATAATGTTAAGTTGAAGTTTTTAAACTTATTTTGTTATTAAAGTACTTATTATGTTATGTTAAATTCACTTTGTTTTAAATGGACAAATCTACAAGGCATAAGACTTGATTTTGTTTGGACTCCTTAATTTCAATTTTTCTATTTCAGGGAGTCCATCAAAACCACAGTGTTGCTTCGAATGGTCCTTCCTCTGAATCGTCGACTGTATCACAAGTAAGTGTATATATAGTCTTGAAATTGCATGATATGTCTAAGAACCTAAATCATGAACTCTTATTGCAAAGCTTCCAGTTAAATGCAAATGACTAATAAAGGAAAAGAAATTTACTTGTGTGTCTACACATAAGTCAAAGAACATTACCTTAGGAATTCAAATATGTGTGTGTCCCTCTGTTTGTTGTATGTCACATAATCTGCTGCCTCATGATAGTGTTCAAATTTTATAAAGTTAGCATGCAAATGCTCAAAATTTTACCATACTACAGTGAAGCTGGTATCTATTAACACCCTAATGTGTTGTTACCCTGTGTTGTCTCACCACTAACCCACTTGGCGACCTTCGACCTTTCAGTCGTATTCTGCATCGCTTCAACCTTTGTCAGAAACGGCAAGCTCTGAGAAAGGATCCAAGAGTAAAAAGAAAAAGGTAGTGTACTGGAATTGTAAACCTGTCCGTTAGCACATACTTTTGGAATTTTTGGCCCATTTTGGTATTTTGGAAGTGACCTGACTTGTGCTTTGCACTTTCAATTCAAGGACCAGCATGAGTGCTGTTTGCATGGCTTTCATAAGCAGAGTAAATTGATGATTGCTTATGGATTTGTATTTGTATAATATTCTAAAGCATTTTGTATAGTAGCATCCTATTTTTCAGTTTGTGACATTTCTTCCCTTTTTTAATGACAATATATGTATTATGATTATTGATTTGTGTTTATTACTTTCATTATCATCTTAGTGTGCTTTTTGTTTCTGTTACTAAATTGTGTATTTACTAAATAGACTGTGGAATTGGATCCAGTTGACATCCTTCAGTTTTATTTTAAAATAAAATTTAGATTTAAAAATACTCCTGATTTGAACTCTGTTCATCCTTCAAATAATTGCATGAATTCAGGTATTCTTAGGCCATGAGTTACGTATGAAATTTATCTTACTTTCATTCTACAGAATTATTATGGGGTTTATATTTTGACTCTACATATATTACAAATATCCAGCCAACTTTGGCCATCTTTGATCATATTCTTCACTTGGTGTGGTTTACCTAACTGTGTCTTCTTATTTTCCAAACAGACGACTAAGCAAGCTTCTGTTAAGCAGAGGAGGCTTACAGGTAACTGTGATAACTGCTTTCCGTCTGGCATCTTTGAATTGTTGCTTTGGTGCAAACAAAATATCATTGGGATGGATGGAGGGCCATCAAATACTTTCTCACATACGAAATGTGAATTGTGGTTGTGGAGGTTACTGATTTGTGTGTTCTGAGAAAGCTGTAGTGTGTGTTGGTTCATTGTCTGCTGGTTAATGATAGTTAAGCCACTCTGAATTTCTGTATATTTATTTCTTCTAGATCATTACCAAATTTTGTTTTTCTATGTCATCAAATCTTGTTTTCAATTTCTTAAATGTCTAGTGACTCCATTTACTTGCATTTGAATAGTGAGAAAAGTTTTTCATACTTTGAGATATTTGCTTAGAAAATTTTGAAAACAATTCTGTGTTTATTTGTAAGGATAATTTCAAATTACTCTTATTCCAAAGGTGATTCCCTTAATTAATTAATTAATTCAAGTTACCCTAATTTCAAGGGTAATTTTAAGAGTAATTTTCAAACATGGCTTTATTTGGTATGGTCCATTTTAGTGGGGGATGGGGATGGAAATGAATAATCATTGTGTGTTCTATATAAGGGGGGAAGCATACATTCTGCAAAAGAATCTGCAATCAACTCATTAAATAATGTGTTAAATTGTAATTTTATTACGTATCTGAGAAAGTATTTCTCCTGTGTTATCTAGTTGTGCTTCTACTGGAAATGAAATCTTGAAATCTAGAAAAATTTTAATTTCCTTGTTTCTTACACTTCATTTTTTATTGTGTTCATTTTTTGGTGTCTTCTAGTTGTTTCTTCCAGATTGTTATTTTATATCATTTGTTCTTTTTTCTCACATTCAAGTCATTCTTTCCAGTAGAGTTTATGGTGATTGGAGGTTGGGTTGGCTTATGGGCTACTGGTGCATTTAGCGCCAGCTTTGGATGCTGTAATGAAGTTATTTGGTGAAATGAAGAATAGGCTTGAAACAGTTCATTTGTTTTTGAAGGTGTTTGGGTATTGGATTTTGGTATTGAAGTGCTTTTCATAACTTCTGCGAGTGCATATTTATTTCTAATTTTTTGGTGGATTTTTCAGAGAAGGGTAAAAGAATGGGTGTTCCTGTTATGAATCACTGGTAATTCCTGATAGACTATTGATCTTATATTTGGTGTAAAAAGGGCTTGTGAAATTTATTTTTTTTATGCATGCTTATTAGTGATGATAGAACTCAAAATATTTATTTATTCCAATGAGTTTTATTCACTGGATACATTTTACGAATGTTTTAAAAATGAAAGGACTGATGTAAATAATTTTGTGCATGTTTCCTTTGGACAAAGGCTTTTATTATGTGTTTGTAGTTGTGTTGAGTGTAACTTTATGAGCCCCCATTTTTAAATTTACTGTCAGTCTCTGCGTATGAGGTGGTAATCATTAGTAGAGGCTGTTGTAAGATGTTTTGTGTAGTGTAGAATGCAAGCAAGTAAACAGTAAGTATTGGTAGGTGAGTATTTTTTAGATTCTTTTGTAGTTTACAAGGGCTGTTGCACGCCTGAAAAATGTCAGAGAATGTAATGATTTTCATCTTGAAAAAAGGAAAGAAGTTAGAAAATTGTACTAAAACTTCTGGAAAGATATTTACCTAATAATAAAAATACTACTGATTAATAACTATTGGTTAATACTCAAAACTATAAAAAATAATTATAGTATTTAAAAAAAAATTAAAACAATTCAATTACAAATGATTACAACAGAAAGTGGTTGATATTGTACACTTGATAATGCCAGTCTTGTAATCTAAGCCACAGAGAATCACAATATTCAGCAATTCACACAGTATTATAAAAGAAGTGAATCACATGCTTGAAATGTTATAGTTAATGAGCAGAGTATCAAAAGTGAGTTTTTGTATGGGGCAAGTGAGTCAGCGACTAGCAGAGAAAGGAGGCATTTGTTGGGCGAGAAACAGGCGATTTGAATTTAGCTCAGAGGCGTCATTTAGGCTTGAGGATCTTTTACATGCGAGTAAATCTACTAACATGGGAAAGCTGGCTTTACTTCCCCTCCGAAGGAAGGCGTATGAAGGATTTTGTCGCCCTAAAAATCCACGGCTTCGATCAGGTTTGAACCCGCGAGCTTGGGTATATCTGGTATGCTAACCGTCACATCATCGCCGCCGCCATAGCATGTGCTGTTGGTTTTGTTAATTAAATATCATGGCCTAATTAAAACTAGTATGCAACCTACACTATTCTTACTCGTCTTCTAATTTTCTTTGTACTGTAGTTTGTTTGTTAAATAATTTTTAAAAACCTCTTTTAATGCATAAGTACAAATTTAATATTTAAATTGCATCAATTTATCATCAGTCATCAATATAATTTTCTAAACATTGAATTACAGCTAGTTAATGCACTTGAAACTGAATTTGCATTGTTCAAATAAATATTTTCTTCAAAAGTTCTTCCATTTTATACAAGTAAATGAAATAAAACAATGTCCTTAAGTGGTGGTGAAGGGTTGTAAGGGATATTTTATAGATGGGAAGAAAGTTAGAACTGATTTTATTGAATTTGTTTTTGGTCACTCTTCCTTTTTGAATATGAGTAGCTGAAGTAACCGGGTATTGCGAGAGTATTTCAATTGCGTATTAAAAAGGAAAAGGAAAAAAAATTCTCCCTTCAGTGTAACGTTCTTTCCTACCTCACCCATCCTGCCATGCTTCTCTCTGCCTTGACTCACCCTTCTTTCTGGCCAGCCCACCCTCCTGCTCTACTGCACTTTATATTGCATACATAGACCTACAAGGGGGGGGGGGGAGAAGCAAAAATAACTGCACTGAGAGCATGCTGCCTTTCATGGACATGTTTGAAGCTTCTCCGGCTAGGTGAGGTGAGAACCTTCACGAAACCACTGTCCAGATGGCGACATATTGTATGTGACAGTTTGATCATAGTTTTTTTCTTTTTTACTGTTCTGGTGTTCTGCCTGTAAAATCATTGTGGCAAATTTAAAAGAATTAAGAGTATGTTTGAAATTTTGTTTCCTGCTTTGAACATTGGCAACAGAAGCTTACCAAATGCTTCTACAGGCTTTTAAGGTTGATGCCATGAGCCGCACTGAAGTTATTAAAGGATTTGGGTGCTTTAAACAAGGTGAGATGAGTGTTGATGACCATGCTCGTTCTGGGCTCCCTACAACATCTCGAAACAATGAAAATGTTAAGAAAATTCGCCAAAAATCAACGAGAATTGACTTTTTACTATCAACGAAATTTCAGAAGAAACAGAAGTCAGTTCATGCCAGTAGTTATTGGCTGAGGATTTGCAAATGAGATGTATTGCCGCTAAATTTTTCCCTTGCCTCATAGTCAAAAAAATATTTGATTGCATTTGAGTCAAGACTTGGAAAATGGATGGTCTGTTGTTCCCCACACCCCGTATTTCCCAGTTCTAGCCCTGGCGATTTCTTTCTTTTCCCAAGGATGAAGAAAAATCTGATATATGGCAAAGTAAAAGGGGAAGCTTTTTGATGGTATGGAGGCAATAAAATCAGCTTTGCTAAGAACACGGGATGATATCAAAGTTAGTTCCAGAGGGGCTTCAAACAATGGGGAAAAAAAGACTTGAAAAGTGCATGGCTTGTAATGGAGAGTACTTTGAAAGTGAGTGAAGAAATTTTGTAAAAAAGGTTATAAATAATTTTTTTATAACAGCAGTCCAGTTTCTTTTGGGTCTCTCCTCCCTTTGTACAGTCACAAATTGCGAAAAAAACGAATTTGGTCAAGAAAATGTTATTGAACGCCTTTTGAGGTGAAAATGTAAGGTTGAACTATTCCTAGTTAATATTCAACGAAATTGAATGATCAGGTAAACATTTTTTGCAGAACATTCAGACATAAGACATTAATGTTAATAGTTTAAGATTACATTGCCTTCACTTTCTCGAAACTTAAGATTCTTGTGACCTATACTTGAAGATTCAATCCACATTTACATTAGGTAAAATTTATTTGATATTGAGGTTAAACTAATTCAATGGGGTTGTATGAATTTCTAATGTACTTACTTTTGGGTTTGATCATTTTCAAATTTAAATTCTTTTGTGATATGTTAATTTTTTGCTTTTATAACATCTTATACTTTTTTTAGTTGATAGTTAGCGGTGAGCTTTTATTATTATTATTTATTATTATTATTATTTATTATTATTATTATTTATTATTATTTATTATTATTATTATTATTATTTATTATTATTATTATTATTTATTATTATTATTATTTATTATTTTTATTATTATTATTTTTATTATTTTTATTATTTTTATTATTATTATTATTTATTATTATTATTATTTATTATTTTTATTATTTATTTTTATTATTTATTTTTATTATTTATTTTTATTATTTATTATTTTTATTATTTATTATTATTATTTATTATTATTATTATCATCATTATTATCAACATCATCTTGGTGTATTTTGAATTTTTTGGACCATGGCGGAGGCTGACAGTATCGAATTATAACTGCATGTTTTTTATTTTTCCGGTGACTTTTAATAAACCCATAACATTTTCAATTTTTGTGTCTAATTAATTTACAAAAGTGCAGTTTCCATTTGTATTTTTAACTTAATGCATTCCATTTTCCAGGGTGGTTCCGGAAAAAAGTAACTCCCAGTAAGCCACAAAAGACACAAGAGAAGCAGTTCTCCTAGTCCTGGTTGAAATGTGCTCACAGGGCAGGCGAAATTTCATCCATACACTATCGAAACTATAACATTCTGGAGTGTTTGTAGGACCATATGCCCTAATATATGTATGAATGTCCTATTTGTATGCATGTGAGTTTGTGTATATGGTGTAGTGTTTTTGTCTGCACATAAGATTGGGGTTGGGTTCAATTTTATATGGTGCTTACTTATTTCATAAGGGGAGAACATTAGAAGAACTATGACTATTATTGTGTTGTGCAGATTCTTTTTCAAGATGTTTTATACAATCATCTGTTGGTTTTGTGGTAAATATTTCTTTTGTGAGTGTGCGGTTGTCATCTGAAATACTGCCCCTTGTACAAAACTATTGTTTTCGTATGGGACTTCCAGAGTTCTCATTTGACTGCTGATATCAGTGAAACTAGATCATGTGATAAGACGTTCTGAACTTTCTTGTGAAGTTCAAACAGTCGCATCAAATTTTATACAGTACTGCATAATACATTCTTCTGAACCTTTAATTAGTGTGGTATATTTATGATATCAGAGTTTTTGCAATAGTAGGTTTTGAAATTAATTAATTGAATATTTTCTTTCTAGACGTGAGGAGTTGATTTTTTCTTCTGACATGTTTTGGAAACTAATAAAAAAATATTTAAATTACGAAAGCTCTTGTTTTTCCCATGTTGTCTAAGAATTAGTGTTAATGTTTTTGTAATTTTTAGGTTCATTCTGACAAATTGCAAAAATTGCAGCTTATTATTTTTCTTTCTTGTTTTCAATGCAGTTTTTTTTTTTTTTGTGTGTGTTGTCAAAATAGTAGGTTTTGATTTAATGAATTTTTTGTATTGATGGAGTTTTAATATTTTATTTAAGTTTTGCTTGATGGCAGATCTCTGTGCTGCCAATTTTTAAAAATTTTCCTTAAGTTATTTATTTCTCTTCTGAAAATTAATGGCCTAATTTTTGTGCTAATAATGAGACCACATTAGTGAAAGGTTAATTGGAATCTAGTATTTGCAGTTAACTTTCCATGTTCTATGAAATATATTGCATCCAATTAATAGTTTTGTATAGGAACTTACTAAAATCATGAAGAAAATTAAATTAAATGGTCATAAATTTAGCTGCAATTTGAAGCTAACATTTTATGTAAAAGTTTCTCAGTCATTCTTTGCCTTTGATATTAAAATGCAATATGTATGTTTATTTAAGTGGTTAGGTACTTAGACTAAAACAATTATATCTTACCAAGTTTTTTACCTATAAAGAACAATTTGGATAATGTATCAGTAATTTGTAATTTACTGTATAAAAATCCTTATTTTTCATAAAAAGCATGAATGAAAAAAGTTATTTTCAGTCTTTTATGTACTAGAATATAGTTAAATATTTGGCTGAATAATCTGTATTTGTTATGTGTTTTTATTACAAAAGCAAATTTTCATAGCAATAACAACGCTGACTTAAACAAGTGATACCTCTGTATAGTTCTAGTGTAGGATTATTTGAAAAACTTCCAATTTCTTTTGAATAAATAACAACATATTAACTCAGTGCTGTAAATAATATATCATGCATGTGTTAGGATCATTTAGGACTAATTGTGTATAGATTGCTAGCCTTGCTGGTTAGTTTTATATGAATAATTTCTATTTCACAATAAAACAATTAAAACAGCAAGAAAAATAAACTTAATTTCTGAAAACATTTGTCCACAAACAGAATATTGTTAGACCACTCTGCAATGAAGATACGACTAAGTTTTAGAAGGAAAATTATTGAATGATGATGAGTAGAGCCCGGAAGTATGGCAAAATTTTTTTAAATTATTTTATGATTTTTTAACAATTGGAATCACTTAATTGTACTTCTGGAGTTGTTTTAGTAGATTTTCATTGTGCCTTTTTTTGCCTATTCTAGCTTCTGATGGCTATTTTGACATTTCGGGGTATTTGAGCCTTTTACATCATTATCCCCCCCCAGCACCGATCTCCATCAAGTTTGAAACATACTTGCCAGCCCGGACAACATGAAGGCGTAGTCATGTATGTCTTTGTGTGGACATTCAGCTTCTAGTGCTAGGTTGTTAAAAATCTAAAAGGTAAAGGAAGATAATACCAGTGAAGATTTTTGATGTTTTTCCTTGATGCTGGCAAACTTGTTCGCTCGTGAGAAATCTCCCTATGTTTGTGTATGGCCTCTGATCCTTTTTGAGGACAGCTGTCTGTACATGATATACGTTCTCGGTTCCTTCTTGTTCTCTTCCCATTTGGCGGTTATACAGATGCAAAGAATGAAGTCTACAATTTTGTTTTTGCTGATACCATTTCATGATTCAAAAAGGATTCCACAATAGCCTTTCATAGAGACCACGTGTTTCAATTATATTCGTAGTCGTCATACCAGATGGTCATTTCCTATAGAGATTACAAAGAAAAGGAAGTTTCCTTCTACGTGAGTACTAATGTAAATTTTAGAGATAGAATTAAAATTGAAATAATTTTAATTATTAATTTTTTTACAATAATTCCTTTTTAAATGGTGATTTTTTTCAATTTTTCCCTGTGTTTTAACCCTCTACTTAGCCAGAATAAATGCCCTTTTGCCTGCCTATTTTAGTGAAAATGAATGCCTTTCTGCCTGCCTATTTTAATAAAAATAAATGCCTGAACGTCTGGGCCCTAATGATGAGGAAACTTGCTCTCCAAGGGATCAATAAAACAACTTCATTGAAAGTAAATGATGCTTGGAAGTGTACGCAAACAAATGTGTCTTTTAGTGTTGAATACATAAAACTTTAGCTTGATCTGAATATCTAGTAAGGTTGTGAGAAAGAAATGCTCATTTGATAATTATTGTGTGTGTACGTGCGTATATATATATATAACTCATTCGCTCAAGTACATAAACGACTTTTTCAAAGGTAGGAATATATTTTAGTCCAATGTAGATTTCTATACCTATTTGACATAGTAATCTTATTCATAAGGTGTCAGTATGAAAAGCTCACAGCAAACACTTCATATGTAATTCTTGCCCAGTATTTTACAACTCTTTGAAAACATGTTGAAATTAAAAGGTTAAAATCTATACACAAGTACAAGTGCCAAGTAAAATATTTTCTGTTATTAAATCTATATTAATAGGGATTATCCTGAGTATTAAGAGGAAACATAGTTATTTAAATAATTATTTTCAATGCTTTCTTGGCAGTTTATTCCTTCATATACATCACAATAAAGGATAATAGATGGAATCTATTGCTGAATTGCATTTGCAAATAGGTTTTTACAATTCTTGCCAAAAACTCTTGTTGATGTCTGTATTCATGATTCAACTTGTAGTGGTAGGTGCCCAACAAACTGTGGGAGTGCATTTTACTTGTTGTATATTAAAGTAATTAATTACCGATGCTGGCTGCACCGAACAAAAAAAGAGGAAGAAAGAATGCAAGGGCGAGAGTCTACTGCGCCAATTGAAATAGATTATTAGTTGAATATCCTCTTCGTAACCTTACAGATTAAAAAAAAATCAATTTATTGTAACAATTTACAACTAAAAACTTTAGTTTGTTTAAAAAATGAATTGGTCAATATTTTAATGTTTTAGTACAGGACTAAAAAAAATATTTCAGCTAATGGTGAAACGTAAAATAAATATATATAT